CATTCTAATCAGTTTGGCTAGAAGTTTAATTTTATAGGTCTCTTTTTTTGTTTTAAATTTTATTGATTTCCTCTCTGATTCTTATCTTTCTTCTGCTTCCTTTGCATTTAATTTGTTTCTTATGGTATAATCTGAAGTCATTGATTTGGAATATTTTTTCTTTTCTAATACAGGCATATAGTGCCATAAATTTCAAGGAGAAAGGGAGATGGAGAGTCCCATTAGACGACACCTTAAGGCAGCCCAGATTAGGAGGGACGGTCCCTCTGCCGGACAACCAACCCAGAGCAGATAGCAAGTCAACAGTGAGAAGGGAAGAGAGGGCGCTCTAGGTTAAAAGAGAATTAAGAAGCACAACACCCAATTATATGTGGCCTTTGTTTGGATTCTATTTGAATAAAGTATATGAAAAGAGACTTTACTGTTCAGGCAATGGGGAAATGTGACAATGGACAAGGTACTAGATGACGTAAAAGACTTCCTGACCCCTGAGTGTCATAATAGTATTACAATTATGCAGGAAAATGTACTTACGAAGTACATGGGGTAAAATGGGATTTGCTTTTTAGGAAAAGCTGTGATGGCAGACCAAAAATTATTATTTTTGGTTATTTTGTGTAACGTATCTATTTACCAGAGGCCTTCCTATTTGTCTGTAGTATAACAATATTTTGACAAGTAGTTTTTATTTATAGAAACAAAAATAAAGCTTTTTGTAATCCCAAATACCCAGGAGGCTAAGGCAGGAGGTTTGCCTGAGTCCAGGAGTTCAAGGGTGCAGTGAGTTATGATTGTGCAACTGCATTCCAGTCTGGGTGACAGAGTGAGAACCTGTCACACGCACACACAAAAAAAGCTATTTGCAAAAATTTGAAAAGTTGATGATAAGAATCAATGAGGCCAGGCGCCATGGCTCATGCCTGTAATCCCAGGACAATGAGAGGCTGAGAAGGGATGATTATTTGAGGTCAGGAGTTCGAGACCACGGTGTCAACATGGTGAAATCCCATCTCTGCTAAAAATACAAAAATTAGTCAGGCATGGTGGCCGCATGCCTGTAATCCCAGCTACTCAGGAGTCTGAGGCAGGAGGATTGCTTGAACCCAGGAGGTAGAGGTTGCTGTGAGCTGAGATTACACCACTGTACTCCAGCCTGGGCAACGGA